GTAAAGACTTTTATAACACTCTTCTACAACCAAATTTCGTAAAAACCCATGGTATGCTTAAGTGGGAAAATGTTTTACAAAAAGATTTTAGTAATGAAGAGTGGGAAATATATAATTTGATGGTTTACAGATGTACACAAAGTGTAAGCCTAATTTGGTTTCACCTTAAGATACTACACTATATTCTTGCAACAAATAGTTATTTATTTAAGATTGGTTATGAAGATACCCCCACATGTACTCTTTGTAAAACTTGCCCAGAAACCATTATTCATATGTTTTGTGAATGTCAATATACAATTCATATTTGGGAGGATTTGAAAGATTGGTTAGGGACAACAGTGGAAGGAAGTATTAATTGTAGTAACCAAAATCTTTTATTTGGATTTAAAGGAAAAAACAATAACCCATTAAATATTATATTTTTAATTGCAAAATTTGTAATTTATAAACAAATGAGAAAGAAATCAATTCCACATTTTAAACAAGTAAAGTGGGAAATAATTAAATATTATGAAGCTACAAGATCTATTGCTTTCTCAAATTGTAAACAAGCTAAATTTTTCTCTTTTTGGTCTTCATTCCACACATTATTCAAGAACACCAAGATATATGATTTAATACTACAATATGTCTGTTATTCTGTATAGAAACCTTATATATAGATCTACCAGATGTACCAGAGAAACAAACTACTGAATGTACAACAAGGCGATTTGAATATATACCATGCTGATCTTAATGTAATATGTTCCATGTATACTTTGTATTTGAAATGATGGGAATAAAAAAATAAATTAAAAAAAATAATAAAAAAATGATTGGGTAAAACACAAATAATTTTCATGACACTGAAATCAGCATATTTTCTATTTATGCTGAGATTGCTTGTCACTGAGCAAGAAATACTATCAAGCTTATATTGAACAGTTTGGAATGGACTTGTGCAGGAACTGAAACTCAATTTTCATACCCTCAGTTTACACAACTTGAACTTTAGAACACTCAAAGTGTCACAACTGACAATACTGTTTCTAGAAATATTCAGTAATGATTGCAAAAGTTCACTCAGTCAAAATTTTAACAAAAATAATATCAAATATCAATCTCAATTGGCACTTGGTACAGTCAGAAAGGTACAATAATAATTAGCACCATACCTGTTAATGAAGGAATTCTTGCAGAATAAAAGACTTGAATGAGTTAAAATGACCAATCACTAATATTCATTCAGTCAAAAGTGTTAATACCATATAATATGATCTGTCAAAAAATATATGACATTGCTAAGTGTTCTTAAAAGTCAGCAACAAAACTAACAAAACAGTACTTGCTTTACAAGTCAGTCTTGCACACAAAAATCTTAATCTCAATAATCTGTCAAATTCATAACAATTAATAAAAGTCAGTTATCATCATCAAACAAAGATTGCAGCAAATGACTATCTGAAAGTGTGTAACACTTGTAAATGCAAATTCAAATAATTCAACTGAAATGAATAATGAACCTTAAAACATTAGACTTTCACATGAACTTTCAAATGTCTAGAAATGCTTAACATTCTTTTTCAAGAAAATCATTCTATCAACATGCTTCCAGCCCTTTGAGCTGTTACGATGTCCCCAGCAGTAGAGAAAACTCTCTCTGAGGGTACTGATGTGCCTGGAATACATAATACTGACTTTGCTATCATTGGATACAGATGATGATTCACTCTCCACCAATCAAGTGGATTGGAATCCACAAGTAGAGATGGTACTTTACAGTAGCTTTCTATCTCATCTTGAGCTTGTGACAAGGATGACCTGGCTGGACGAGGGGGGGATGCAGACTCTACCTTGACCACATACACGTCTCCAAACAATCTGGTCAGGCACCCTGATGACCCGGCACCACTGTCTGCAGTGTCTTGTTCTGTCTTGACAACAGCGACATCTTCGTCAACAGATGAGACTGGATTCAAATTGGGCAGGGGTGGGTCCATTGGTGCTGTGTTCGGTTCAGGTTCCTGCTTCACCTCTGTCAGTGGCTGAAAAGTGAAAATAGATTGCATTGTTTTCATAAATTTATGTACATGAAATATAAATTTCAGAAGAAAATTATACAAATTTCAAAATTGGCATTCATAACTGATAAATTTCATTCTAATTATTTTTTACTTTCTTAATACAATGAGTTAGTATATTGAATATGGCCTGTGATATTCAAGTTTAAAGGGAAAGAATAAACTAGATATACATACACAATTGCTATCCCAGTACTCAGCTACAGATGTTGATAGATCTGTTAAGACAGAAGCCTTTTCATCATCCTTCAAGAAGGGCAGGGACTTGAATCTTGGATCTACTGCTGATGCAGTATGTAGAATTTGCAACACTTCTGGTTTTGTATACCTCTTGTTGAGATCTGCAAATATGGCTGTCTTGACCTCTTTCACAAAAGGTGGATCTTCATCTTTGATGCACATCTGAGTCTTTATCAAATGGAGCACTGGGGCAAGGATGGACAGTGTTGGAAACCTCTCCTCACAAAGGACTTCAGTTGCTCCTTTGAGTGGCCGCAGAAGATCAACAAGAAGCTCTAAGTTTTGGATGTCTGTCTCGCTGAGCGTAGTGATATCTGTTTCCTTATCTTGATTTCCTTAGTTGCAATGAGAGTGGCATATTAGCAGGCTGAAGTTGCAGGTAACTTTGAATCATATCATGAGTGCTATTCCATCGCGTAATAACATCCATTTTTAGTTTTGTTTCAGGCAGACCAAGTCGTTCTCGGTTGATCTTCAATTTGGCAAAGGCCACTGTGCTCCTGTGAAAGAACACCACTTTCCTCCTGAACCTTCCCAAGAGTATGACTACTCTGGGTGACTTGAGTCCTTTTTGGGTGGCCAAATTCAAAGTATGAGCGAAGCAGGACATGTGTTTCATGTCTGCCACCTCCGCCGCTATCCCAACATTGGCAGCATTATCTGTGACAAGGCCAGTCTGTTTATGCTGTAGACCCCACTCTTCCACTGCATCTTTCAGCACTTTACCAATGTTTACCCCTGTGTGTGACTCCTTGATGATTCTTGTCTGTAGAACAAAGGGAACTATTTTCCATTCAATGTTGATGTGTTGGCTTGTGATTGTAATGTATCCCTCAGTGGATCGGCTGGTCCGACCATCAGTGGTCAACGAAACTGCTTCTGCCTTACTGAGTTTATCTATGACTTCTTGCTTTGTCTCCTCATACACTTCTGGAATTATTTTCTTTAATAAAGTTTTTCTGTTTGGAAGTTTGTACCTCGGCTCCAGAGTTTCAATTAAATTCACAAACCCTTCACTCTCAACGATTGAAAATGGCTGTAGATCCCTGACAAAAAACTGAGCAAGAGCCTTAGTGTTAGCCTTAGATCGTTCACTATTAGGAGGCAGTTTCTCTTTACGACGAAACATGTTCATGATATTCTCACCAGCAGAATTCTTCGACGACGACTTGGAAGTTTGAGGATCCAGTTTTGCCCTCTTGTGAATTCGAACATCTTCACTCGCGTGGCGTCTCTTCAAATGGGCTGCCATATTTGTTGTGTTGCCATTATATGTTGAAATGGTATTGCAAATAGTGCACGACACCTTTGTTTTGTCTCTCGACAGAAGGAAATGCTTCCACACAGCACTTTTAAACGATGCCGGAGGCTTTATAAACTCTGACACATCGCTTGCCTCGCAAAGAGCCGACATTTTAACTACCAAGACTAGACGAGATTAAACGTTACATAGCAACCTCAAACATGGAAGCGTCCACGAGACAGCATTTCTGGTTGTATTACGAGTAAATATTTTGTTTCAGAACAGATCAATTTATTCAATGAAATGTATCGTTATTGTATTGATACATAGAAACCATATCGATATATTGTATCGGATACCTAGAGATCGTGATTCGAATACATATCGATTAATCGTCACAACTCTAATGAATACCCCACTCAGACAAAGTATACTGACTCCAAGCCGACCAGTCCTTGTTTTAGCCCCTTTATGCCGAACGCTAGACAGGGTAACAACAAGTACCATCTTTTAACGTCTTTTGGTATGACGCAGCCGGGGATCAAACCCCGGACCTTCCGCTCTCCAGGCGGACGCTCTACCACTAGACCACGGAGGCAGTCTACTTTTTCTGATCCGGATGTCCAATATATGTACAGAGAGAACCTCCCTGGTTAACCTTCAGTCTCTGAATCTTCGCGCCACTCCCAGATAACTAACACAATACTATCGATGATAATTTTAGCTCCTGCCATCTAAATGTTTAACATCATGCAAAGTAGGTCATAGTACTCATCTCTCAATAATAACTAATTTCCATTCACTAAAGTGGTAGATTCAGTCCGTATTATCAAAAACTCTTCTTGTCTAATATACCTTGGTTAACTACCTAAGTTCATCGGTTAATCGAACATAGTTCATCAGTCAAAACACCCTGGTTCATGACAGGAAATATTTTGATTTGATTGTTTCTTGTTTAAAGCTGCACTCAGCAGTATTCCAGCAATATCGTCAAGTCTGAACCAGGAAATCAAGTGATTGACACCATGAGCATTGATCTACACACCTGGGAAATGATGACATGCATCCACCAAGTCAGCTAGCCTGACAAACCGATCCTGTTATGACCAGCAGGGGTTGCTGAAGACCTATTGATTTTAGTGAGTGAGTGAGTGAGTATGGTTTTACGCCGCTTTTAGCAATATTCCAGCAACATCACGGCGGGGGACACCAGAAATGAGCTTCACACATTGTACCCATGTCGGGAATCGAACCCGGATCTTCAGCGTGACGAGCGAACGCTTTAACCACTAGGCTACCCGACCGCCCCCCTATTGATTCTAACCTGGATCTTCAAGGGGGCGACAGTCAGAAACAAGCTGAAACATTTTTAGCCTAGTGTTTCAGAAAATTATATTTGAACAGTTTACTTGCATGAGGTACAAAAACATTCTATCACTCATCAGAGGTACCTTTGATGCTTGACTTGGTCTCAACAAGGAACCAGTTGAATGTGTCTGCTGTCCGGCTGAGTCCATCGGAACTCTCGTCTCTCTAAATCTTCGGTCTGATCTATTAAACAAAAGGCTTGCATAGACAAGGTAAAAAGTGTGTTATAGCTAGAAACCAACTGACACTAGGATAGGTGACTTTCAGTAATTTGCAGTAGCCGAAACTAAGTAAGTCTTTGGGTTCTGGGGTCCTTGAGGCTTGTTCATTTGTCTTGTGACCCCCTAAATATGAAAGTTTTAACACTAGGGTTATGACAAGGACCATTCCCTTTCATGCTTAATTTTGTACACTGAATTGCATCTGCTAATGTATTGCCCAATATGTTCCACTTGTTGCATAAGCTCACAACAGCGTCATATTTCTAAGTTAGAATAAACAAGACACAGCACGCTTGTCCATTATACACTGCAGAAGAGTTCATGAATGTGATCTGTGAGGGTATATAGGCATGAAAGCAGAAAATGTTATAAAAAATAAAAAAGTTTACTTATTTGGATTTTTGAAAAAGTTCATGTGTATCTGTATGCAAGCAACTTAAAATTAATTGGGTAAAATTCTAATGGTGCTTTGTTCCATTTGCCATCTCTCAACACACAAGTAGATCGATCCATTTTTAAGATTACAGGTAGGTGAGGTGAAATGGGGTTTAACGTCGCATCCAAGATTATTGCACTGATATAGCGACGTGCATGCATTTGTATGTGTGTGTGGCTGCTTGTACTAGTCCGGACTGATGCCGATTTCTAGTGCTAGCAGTTAGCACACTGAGATACCATGTCACAGTTTAACCTGAATACCCAACTCAGACACAGCATACTGACTCCGAGCCGACCAGTCCTGGTTTTAGCCCCTTAATGTTGAGCGCCAGACAGTGTAGATTTCAGGTAGGAGGCAAGTGATTGTTGTTTTAGCAGTAGAAGTTTTGGCCAATGGAGAGGGTTACTGAGGGAAGACCGTGTCTGTACACTATGCAATTCATCTGCTGTTGGAGACAAGTTTCACTATGTTTTTAGGTGTGAAGCCCTTCTCCAACAACAACTTCTTTGTATCCCAAAGGATTGTTATATCTGGCCTAGTATTTGTAAACTACGTAGAACATTATCACATTAAAATATATCCACTTTAAAACATCTGTCCGGATTCATTGTACATTTGAACACGTTATTATGTTAAAGTGTCATAATCATGTTACCATCTTTATCTTCATTGAATACATATTATCTGTTATATACACACTCTTGTGCCACCGTTTTTCAGAGAAATAAAACTGACAGGTAAAACTGACAAAATGTTCAGTAGGATACCATTCTGCTCATTTTACAGACATAAGCAGCTTAACTGGAGCTTCAGTCATGGTTTAACAAGGATATTAACTTCATGTGCACACTCTGTGCCAAAGACTTTTGAGTCTACGTATACTTGCCTGAATTTCTCTTTTGCCATAATTCTCAATGTCAATAAATGCTGAGATTTATCGGGGATACCAAACTAAGTGCCTGGGATTTCTTTTGTTCAAAATTGAGAATTTATTATTTTCTTAGTTCAGATGTATTTTAACATTGCATTCGATGCATTAATGTAAATCACAGCCTCTTCCTCTATAATTTGTATCCCAATTGCGTGGCTCGATGCTCATGATGTCAATCACTGGATTGTCTGGTCCAGACACGATTATTTACAGACCGCTGTCCAATAGCTGGAATATTGCTGAGTGCGGCGTTAAACAACAAACAAACAAACTATTCCTGATTGCTGATATCAGTGATATACAAGTCACCTTGACCAACCCATAATTTTAGTGTGGCTTTATAACATGAATTGGGAAACTTTTAATTCCAATTTGGGATTTGAAACTGATGTTTTCTGGAGACTTGGCACCAAATATCTGCCTCTGAGCAGGTCTAAATACATTCCTAAAATGGGCTATAACCCGTCATAAGCTGAGCTTAGACAGAAAGACATGCTTCACTCTGGCTTCAGACAGGTGGTTAAAGTTTAGATGCATGCATATTGATATGAGTGAGTGAGTGAGTGAGTGAGCGAGTATGGTTTTACACCGCTTTTAGCAATATTCCAGCAATATCACGGTGGGGGACACCAGAAATGGGCTGCACACAATGTACCCATGTCGGGAATCGAAACCCGGGTCTTTGGCGTGACGAGCGAACGCTTTAACCACTAGGCTACCCGACCGCCCCTCATATTGATATGAAGGTAAGCCTCTCTCAATATGAAAATGGATTGAATTTTTCCTGAAGTTTACTGTTGATTGGCTATACTTATACTTATAATCAGTGAACAGTGTTTGAAATTAATGTGGGTACTGGCATCCCTGTGAGTATCTCCTATGGTGTCTGAACCTAGGGACCCCAACTTTTTCAATTCCAATATCAACCGGGTTCACTCTAGGAATTTTATGACATGTGCCCTTTATATTAAAATTTCAAATATTCCAGACGTACGCCCATACAACACAAATTGTATAAACTTGTATTTATAAATGTGGGCCTTTTTTAAATATAGGGGCTAAAAGCACAAGGCCGAACCCTAGAATTATCCCTGTATCAGGCAATGACAAGGACCTACATGATTGATGTTTCATAACTACATTCAAATACTCATGAAAGATTTATTGTCTGTTTGGTAATGAAATAAAAGAATGTCAAGTCATTGGCTCTACTTTAACTTTTCATGCATCAGTCAGTTCACATGTTTCAATCCAAAATACACCATACAATGATACATGCTTGGCTTATGGTGGAATTTGGACACATTAAGCTTATCAGGGTTAGAAATTGGCACTAGTCCTGTAGTCCTTGCCAAATAGTTAAGGTATCATAAGGACTAGTAGAAATGTGCACTTTTTAAGGGTTTTGCTATATCTTATCACTATAAGGACTAGTGGAATAAAACTGTTAGTTTCTACTGTTGCTTATTCTGGTTATTTTAGATATTTTTTAACTGAGTTATCCTTGTGTTTTAGGTGCAGGGTCAAAGTTCATTGAAATTTTGAATAATAGCTCTCGTGCTATTCAGGGAGTAAGGGACTGGTAAAATACAACAAGTACTTGTACATGAGCGAGTATGTTTTCTTATCACTTGGGTTGCACGCTCAGGTTGGCCCATTGGCCTAGTTACTCTTTATGTAAAAGCAAAATGAAGTGTGTATGGATAGTTGCTCATGTTATCAACCACTGTTTTACCTTGACTTATTTTATTATTTACATTTGCCTGATTAAGCTGTAATTTTGCGGACTGGCATATTTAGGCCTAGGCTACTCGCATTCGTCCCTCTCATTCAGTTCTTCATACAGGCCTAGTAGTACTGTGAAATGTAGATAAGACATGTTATACTAAAATAATATAGGAGATGACCAAATGTATGTGACCATTAATCACAATGAGTAAAATAGCTGTCAACAATCTGGATCTTTGATACTTACATTACATCAAATGCCATCTTGATGGCTGCTTTTCTTTCACTGTCTCATGAGATTTGAAAGGTGAAATTATGCACAAATATTCACGATTGATTTACACTTGTACTTCTTGATCTTCGTCATATTCAAGGCACATTACATCACACATAAGACAGGGGTTTGACTTTGAGATAAATCTAAACATCTAACACCAAAAGACTGTGACATTTTCAAGCAGACGAAGTCAAACAAGAGCGCCTAAAGTACTTTTAATTGGTTTCACGGTGTGATTGCGTAACGCTGAATGCTTCTTCATTATCTGTAGACAGGTTCCAAGTCAATATGGACATAAACATGATAATGGTAACTAGTTACAAATGTAGATTTTTACATTTTATAATTCTCTTTATTTCCAAGTAATAGAATGCTAATATAAATAAATATCATAAGTTATTTTATTTTTTTAAATTTGACAGTATTAAACATAATGGTCATATATTGTGTATTTTCCTTTACATTGAATGCAATGACGCATTAAATGTTCTTCACCGAAATAGTATCATTGGGAAATTCAAAGCTCCATGCTGTAGCTTGCAATGCCAAACCTAATGAGGAGCTTGAAAGGTACTACTCTGGAGTTGCTTCCCTTAGTTCACGTGGGCTCTCAGTGAACAGTTGGCAATAAGGAAAGAACTGGCAGAAATGTTAAAAATCAAATGGTGACGAGAAAAGGATTACTTCCCAAAACTGAATAATACACAGTGGAAAAAAGTATTCTGATGATTCGTCAACATTCATTCCAACATAATGTTGTAATCCTGAGTCTGGATTTTCGAAACGATATAAGTTGGGATTAATTTTAACAACTTTCAAAGACAAGATACCCTACGATCACGATAGTTTCGAAAATACGCTATGACAACAGTTGTGTCCGATTTTCTTACTATAGCTTTACGATAATCGAAGCCTAAAGATCGTAAAGAACATCTCGAGCTTAAACTTGAAATAAACAATTTAAGCAAGGGCTTCATAATGCAGGTGAACTAGCAATGATTCAAAAAGTTATCATGATGATATTTAGAGGTAGAAGTAGTGTCCCTCGGACGTTACAGGATCTGCTGATTGTATAGGTTCGAATCTGAGATTCGCCGGGATTGCTTAACTGATTGAAAATAAATTTAACCCAAACCAGCCCGTCACTCGTATCATCACATTTCATCTTTCTGAAAAAAAGTTATTTATTTAACCGAAAGAGTTTAAAACAATTTCTTGAAAGAATAACCTCGATTATCCGGTGTATTACAACTCCAATCTATATATCGCGATCGTAACAGAACGGAGCTATGTCATACCCAAGGGAATCAGGGACGTAAATACCACAACATGATAGGATTTATTCTTTTTTCTGATCAAGAAAACAATTACACATAAAAAATACATTGTACATAAAAAAAACAATATAATGAAATAAGTGAGTGAGTGAGTGAGTATGGTTTTACGCCGCTTTTAGCAATATTCCAGCAATATCACGGTGAGGGACACCAGAAATGGGCTTCACACATTGTAACCATGTCGGGAATCGAACCCGGGTCTTCGGCGTGACGAGCGAACGCTTTAACCACTGGGCTACCCGACCGCCCCTAATGAAATAAGCTGCGGAGCAAAAGAAAGTATACATCCATGTCTGATGGTGGCTGAGAAACAAACAAGAAATGGTTATTCGATGGTGATGCATTTGATAAGCGTACCAGAGTTATGTTTTGGACCTTAAAATTAGGTTCGCAGTGTTTTAGCGACTGTTTACAGAGTAGTAACGTTTTTTATAACATTTGTAAGTTTTGGGTCAAATTCAGTTTTCAAGTGTATACTTTCTTTTGTCAGGCAGTTTAATTGCAACATTGTAATATTGTGATGTATGAATTTTTGAAAATTAAAGACAAGTAACGTCGCTATTTTGGTCATTGCAGTTGTTAAATAAACCCGCGATGGTGAGGTGGTGGTGGGTGAGGTGGTGAGGTGGTGAGTGAGGTGAAATGTGGTTTGACCTCGCGTTCAAGATTATTTCGGCTGTTTGTACTAATCCGGAGTGATGCCGGTTTTATAGTGCTAGCGGGGGCCCAGTCGTCTAAGGCGCCGCGATTCGCTGTGCAGAGTTGCGTCCCTTGGGCACGCCAGAAACCTATGATTGTGGGTTCGAATCCCGGTTCCCCCTATTATGTTTCTAGGTTTGTCAGCACCATGCGCGTGGGTTTCACCGAAGTGGTAAGCGTCTGAGACCTTCATCACTTCGGGCTTTCCTCCCACATTAAGCTGACACGCTTATTCGACGTAATAAGCGCCCCGCTCTAACAAGCGCCCACGGCGATATTTGCTAATATATTGGCTAGTGAACAATCCAAATTAGCGCCCCTTCCGATTGATCTATGTACACAAGACTTGTTTGTTCGTGTATGATACGCACTCCTGTGTTATATGCACCCTTAATTATGGGTAATTACATTCTGGAAAATATATCTGTCGTGTATAATACACACAGACTTTTCTTTTCTATCCTTTCAGGCTGTCGGCATAAACTACGAAATTTACAACCTTTCAACTCTGTTGTTTTTTTCTCACCAAAATTATATTCTAATAAGAGCCCCCTTTTTCTTATTTTGAGAGCACCCCGGGCGCTTATTACGTCGAATACGGGGTAACTGGAATACTGTTAAAAGCGGCGTTAAACCCAACTCACTCACTCATTTATAGTGCTAGCCCACTGAGAGACCATGTCCCAGTTTAACATGAATACCCTACACTGTCACAGTATACTGACTCCTAGCCGACCAGTCTTTGTTTTGTCTCCTTAATGACGAGCGACGGGTAACAACAAGTACCACCTCTAAACGTCTTCTGGTATGACGCGGCTAGGGGTTGGAACCACGGCCTTCCGGGCCTCCGGGCTGCCGCTCCACCACTAGACCACGGAGGCGGTCTGCTTGTATGTTTGCCTCTTTTGTCAATGTCCAAATATTATTCAAACACACTGTCATCAGGCCACAGAGACACGGAGATCTGCGGAGATGCCCCATTAAGCTGGACTGTACTGTGTTGTCTATTGTTTAACGTCACCTTTACATACTAAATAGTTGCTTATTTCTATTTTGTCTTCATATTCTGGATGTTTATTAGGGTATTGTGAGTTTTGTTTGTCTGTTTGTTGTTTGCAATATTCCGGCTATATGACGGCGGCGGGTATTTTGAGTTTGTTTATTGTAAGTGGTAATAGTAGTATTAGTAGTTTTAGTAGTAGTTGTAGTAGTAGTAGTAGTAGTAGTAGTAGTAGTAGTTTTAGTAGTTGTAGTAGTAGTAGTAGTAGTAGTAGTAGTAGTAGTAGTAGTAGTAGCAGAGGTAGTAGCTGTTGTAGTAGTAGTACTTAGTTGTAGTAGTTGCTGAAGGCCTATTCCACCCTGTATCGTCACAGTCGTGATCGCACTGACTAAAGTAGATGTAATATAGTAGAAAATTATTCTGAAACGTTAGCTTGGCCCAGTAGTATGTACAGAGTTACGTCCCTTAGGCGTACCAGCATCCTATGATAGTTTGTTCGAATCCCAGTTTCGCCCTGGTGATGTTTCTAGGCTGGTCTACTCGTTCCCGTGAGTGAACGAACGAGCTGCATCACTTCAGGCTTTCTTCTCAGATCGTTGACATGCCGCCACACAGCTGAAATACTGTTAAAAGCGGCGTCGAACTTACTCACTCACACGCACATATACAATCACTCACACAAATATTGGGGGCGGTGCGATTTTGTTTTCATGCAAAGATAACCATCTTTACCAAATTCTGCTGACTACCCCCACAGCCTCTTAGTCAGGTTATAGTCAGGGAGACAAAGACACATAAAAAGAGCTTGTCATCATGGAATTGTAGTAGGGTTGCCTACTGGCTGTCTTAGTATATCATCTTACTCCAGCGGTTTAAACATGTGAGGGGGGAAGGTTAATCAGGTGATTACACCAGTGTAGCTGGTGTCTGTCGATGACGGTGGGTATAACCGAAAACCAACTCTCATCTCTGTCTAGCTCACGTGTTAGTATTACAAGTATGTGTCACGATTCACTCATCTGTCGATTCAGGTTTTAGTTCTGTTCTGTTCTGTTCTGTTCTGTTATAATAACTAGGCCTGATAACTACTCGAGCTAGCGTTAGCGTACCTCCTATGACAGAAATATTAAGTCTGATATCACAATATTAGAAACAGTTATACTCGTGTATACCTTTCTCCGTATTATTGTTTTTGTGTGAATAAAGCTTCTTCTTCTCCTCTTCCCCTCCTCCCCTCCTCCTTCTTTTCCTTCTTTATCTTATCCTTCTTCCCATTCTCAGTCTCAGTGAAAGTTTTGTCAGTGAAGGCGACCTCACGACTAACGCAGTAGCATACTTATGAAGTATTAATGTAAGGGGCCATATTCACAGGGTAAGGGTGTCAGTCATATGATCAGCCCAACTCACTCACTCACTCACTCACTCACTCACTCACTCACTCACTCACTCACTCACTCACTCACTCACCCATCCAACCACTCACTAACTCACTCGATAGAAATGATAAGAATAAATTTTAATAATGTCATGGTTTAAATCTTTTATCGATATATAATATGTTTATTTCAGGGCAGCTCGATCGTAGTTGTTGTTTGAGCGGTAGTAGCTTGACATTGCGTTCCCTGTTAAAAGGGTGACTTCGGTGAATAGATATTTTATCGGGTTACATGCGTTTCCCACTTCAAAGCCTGCTTCTTTCAGCAGGTGCGATAACGGTATGGTTCTCCGCCCCACGCGAAGCTTTGTTGTTGTAACCACCTTGCACAATGCCATCAATAAAATTACCTTTTAAATTTGATACAACGTTAAACCCATTTCAAATATGTACACACATTGCGTGCGTTTCCTATTCTAAAATATACACACACAGTAATAGTAATAGTAATAGTAACAGTAACAGTAATAGTTATAGTAACAGTAATAGTAACAGTAACAGTAATAGTAACAGTAATAGTAACAGTAATAGTAACAGTAACAGTAATAGTAACAGTAACAGTAATAGTAATAGTAACAGTAATAGTAACAGTAACAGTAATAGTAATAGTAACAGTAACAGTAATAGTAACAGTTATAGTAACAGTTATAGTAACAGTAATAGTAACAGTAACGGTAATAGTAACAGTAAAAGTAACAGTAATAGTAACAGTTATATCGACAGTAATAGTAACAGTAACAGTAACAATAATAGTAACAGTAATAGTAACAGTAACAGTAATAG